AACAACTTAAACCAGAAAACACCTTCATATTAATCATTCTTCTCATATACTTCAAATTTGTACTTAATGCCTTTCTCCTCTTGGACATCAGAGAGAACACCTGGGTATTCTGGTAGAAGTTTATATTTCTCCAAATCAATTTCTGGAAGAAAGGTGTCACTTTCAAAGTCTTGCATGATCCTTGTCACAAATAGTTTAAGATGGCCTGGGTGATTCATGCCTTCCTTATAAACAGAATTGCCACCAACTATCCAAATCATGTCTACTTTATTTGCTAATTCTGGTTGTTCAGTAAGTTTTAAGGCATCATCCAGACTTCTGGCAAGAAAATGAGCTCCTTGTGGAGGTTCCTTGAGTTCTCTGCTGAGAACTAAATTAATTCTACCCTTTAAAGGTCGATTCTTCTCAGGAATGGAGAACCAAGTCTTCTTACCCATAATCACCAGATTCTGTTTACCTTCTACTGAAGAGGTTGTGGTCATTCTCTGGAAATATCTGAATTCACTCCTGAGCGGCGGCCAGGGCAGGTCCCCGTTCTTGCCGATGCCCATGTTCTGGGACACAGCGACGATGCAGTTTAGCGAACGAGCCATGACAGCAGCTGGAACACCTCCGAGCCCGCTCGTTAAAACAGAACACGCCGTCAAGATTGGCCACAATGTACCTCTTAATAAAATGAATTAGCATTTCCTTAAGACACCAGGTATAGTGGCTGAAATGAAGTAATTTTCTTTATCCAGGGATTAAACCATATTATATTTTATTACAACTTTCCACTGATGCATTGTGGAAATAAAATCTCAAATTCAACTACTTATTCCCACGATGGCATTTCAAATGTTGTGTCATCTGAGAAATGACTTGCACTTAATAGGCAGGTACTGAACTAAGTTGAGGCAAAGTGCAAAGTGTACTACAGATTCAGGACAATTCAAATAATGAGACAATTTCACTAAATTTATAACCAAAAGTGTTGCATAGTTCCTTGCAAGTTAGGCAATGTGATTCCTAAAAATAGCTGGAATAGGAAAACCTCCACATTCATCATATGTAAGAAAATTAGAAATATACTCTGACCACTGAAAATAGGTTTTTCCATAGTTCTCCTCTCTTTTCCTAACATTGCCTTGTTGTGCTAGTGTGGTGTAACCTGTTCAGCTGGAGTTTCTCCACTTAAAAGAGCTATTTGGAAGATCCCCAGTGGTTCTCACTGAATTTCAACTCAAGACTAAAAATGAGACAAGATAATTCAAATATTCCTTATTCATCATAGCTAATGTGAAATTTAGTTTAGAAGTGAAAGGTGGAAGAGATAAAAAGTACACTAACTCCAAATTACATTTTATCGGATAATCAAAACAGCATCTATCATATCGTGGCATCTTTGACTTGTTGAATTGAATAAAGATAACAGTCACATGAGCTATCATGATTAAAAAAACGCCTTCAGTGGGGATTAAATATGCAACCCCCCATGTTTGTGGGCAAACAATTCATGACACTAACTGACAAAGCGCCATCAGCTAGACCAGCCCTGGAAGTCAACTCAAAGTTCTTACTGCTGCATTAACCTAGCTACATTAAAATGCACTTTTTCTCCGTATACTTGAGGCCATATAAATATTACCTGTGGAAGTTATAACAAATTAATGAGAACCCTGATAAACATGACAGATTGGACACATCTATGTCTGCAGTTTCCAGGACTATCACTAAAACTAAAATAAATCAATAAACATGGATAAGATACAGGGCAAAGCAAATTAGAGTATTAACCAGAGCACCTAAGGCATATCAATAAAGACATAGAGAAGGTGGAAATATGATTCATGAGTGGTAACTGTTTTAGTAAAGGAAGATAGTTGAAACTTGAAGAACTGCATGGGAAAAAACAAAACTGAAGAAGACAATTTTAGTCAGAGAATGCCAAGAGACTCAGTAACTGGAAGTGCAGATACTTGTATAGGAGGAAATAAAAAATGGGTCTCAAAAAGAGAAAATGTGTTCAAAGTCTTTACAAAGAGATTTCAGCCCTCATATATTCTCCTGCAACATGCAGAAATATGGAATAAGTTTCTAGAAAATTTGAAAAATGTTAACCTGTGGATATGAGCCTGCACAGATGAGAACAAGAATATTGCACCATTATGAAAACAAGAAAATTAACTGAATTTTGCATTCTAAAAGTAGACTCCCAGCCCACTTCTCATGCTCTGCTCGTAGAATCCAAACAGCCAAGTTTATACTCCTTTCCTGGGCAATAGATTATAATAGTCAACCAGAGGTACTCTGATCAGAACCAGAAAACAGATTTACAGATACTGACATTGGGCTTATCCAAATGACATAGCCAAGTTCCTACTTGATAATATCACAGAAAAATGACATACTTTGCACAAAAACAGCTCACAAATATTTGTTAAGTTCTAAGTCTTATAAAGAAATAGGCTATCAAAACATCACAAGATTTTGAAAAACATCCTTCAATGAAAAACAGAAAAGGAATACAGAAGGAAAATAAAAAATAAAAAAGAGAATACTAATGATAAAGCTGTAGTATTTTCTTCTGCTCTCTCCAGTAGCTTGGAGAGAGAGTACTCTTCCGAGGTACTGGAGAGAGCAAAAGGAAACACTAAAAGTTTATCATTAACGTTATCAGAGATAATAGAAGTTATTGCAATGACAATATAAAAGTAAATGGCTATAAATTGAAATAGAGAACAAAAAAGAAAATATAACAGGACAGCGGAAATAAGAAATTCAAGAGAAAGGTTGAAGTTTAAATTTAGAAATTATCAGAAACTCAGAGCCAAAAAGAAAATAACTAAAAAATATAAAAGAGAAGGAAAATTATAGATCAATCCAGATATTCCAACATTCAAATAATTAGAGCTCTAACATCTAGAAACAAAGCCTTAAAAAAGTAGAGGGCAGTTAATTATCGAAGAAATACTAGAAAAAAATTTCCCAAAAGAAATTGAGTTTCCAAACTGAAAAGATCCCCTGGGCACCCAGGACAATGAATGAAGAAGATCCAAGCCAACATAATTACGATGAAATTTTTAAATAATAAAGATGATTGAAACATTCTAGAAGCATCTAGGGAGATAAATAGATCACAAACAAAGAATCAGGAATCAGAATGATATGTGACTTCTCAGTAGCAACACTGAAACCCAAAAGACAACGAAGGGATGGTTTCAACATTTTAATCTGAGGGAACATAATTGCTAATATCAAATTTTATTCAAAACCAAACTATTAAGTACATGTAGCATGAACTAAAGACATTTTCAGGCTGTGGAATTAAATAGTAACAAATAAAAACAATATATTATTATAAATAAATAAAAAATGTATTCTCACCGTCTCAGGAAGATACAAATTAATATGCTCTACCAACCATAGTAAATAAAAAGACAGAAAGCCTTGGCGTGGCACTACCAACTTCTCACCCAATATCCGCTCCTTCTCTTCCATAGGAATGCAACTTGAGTTTAGTCCAGATAGCAATGCCCAAACAAAAGGCTGCATCAGAATCCCCTATTTCATTTCACAAGGCATGGGGCATAACATCTAAGCTCAGACTTCCTTTCCTTTCCTTTCCTCTTCCCTTTTCCTTTCCCTTCCCTTTTCCCTTCCCTTTCCCCTTTCCCTTCCCCTTCCTTTTTTTGAGACGGAGTCTCACACTGTAGCCCAGGCTGGAGTGCAGTGGCGCCATCTCGGCTCACTGCAACCTCCGCCTCCCGGTTTTAAGCAATTTTCTGCCTCCGCCTCCCGAGTAGCTGGGATAACAGGCACCCGCCACCATGCCCGGCTAATTTTTTGGTGTATTTTTAGTAGAGACGGGGTTTCACCATCTTTCCGGCTGGTCTTGAGCTCCTGACTTCGTGATCCACCCGCCTCGGCCTCCCAAAGTGCTGAGATTACAGGCGTGAGCCACCGTGCCTGGCCTAAGCTGACACTTTCAAATAGTTCCTTCAAAGAGAGACCAACAGCCGACAAGAACTGTTTGACTTATGTCTACCTCTTCTCCCACTTCCTGCTTTGAATATACAAGTGACATCTAAGATCCAGCAAACATTTCAAGACTTTCAGAAGAGAGGCCATTCCTGAGTATTCTGTCACAGAGAAAGGGAAGGAGCCAGACTCCCTCATGACTTTTTGGAGCTATGGTAACTGCATAGAACTGGCTCTCTACTACTTCTATATCAGCCAAAAGTCAATATATTACTTGTTTAAGCCATTGCTGTTTTGGTGTCTCTTAGGAGCAGTCAAGTGCAATTTATAACCAATACATTTGAATCCAGGAAGTGGGCTTTATCAGATCAGTGAGTCAAAGAAAATTCTTAGAATGACAGGGAGAAAATTTGCAAGATGACAATAGTATACCTGAGCACATTGGAGCAAGTTCCTCCCAGGGAAAATTGAACTCATAGATTGACTGATGCTTCTGACATATTAAGAGGTGTTTGTTGCTATCAGTGAATTTATGTATAAAACTAAGCAAACAAACACACAATGCAATTAACTCCAATAAAAACAAAATGTGGGCCAGGTATGGTGGCTCACGCCCGTAATCCCAGCACTTTGGGAGGCTGAGCGGGTAGATCACTGAGGTCCAGAGTTCAAGACCAGCCTGGCCAACATGATTAAACATCGTCTCTACTAAAAATACAAAAAACAAATAAATAAAATAAAAATAAAAATAGCCAGGCATCATGGCATATGCCTGTAATCCCAGCTATTCGGGAGGCTGAGGCAGGAGAATCACTGGAACCCAGGAAGTGGAGGCTGTGGTGAGCCAAGATTGCGCCAAAAAATTTGTGTGGAAAATAAAATAATTGTATGATGTGTAATTTCATTGTGAACAATACTTAATAACAAAAGTCATCATCTATAAAATTAAGGTTGTGTTTCTCAACTGGAGGTAATTTTGCACCCCAAGGGATATTTGGTGATGTCTAGAGACATTTTTTGTTATTGCAATGTGGGAATGTGCTGCTAGCATCTAGTGGGTAGATGCTAGGAAGGCTGATAAACATTCTACAACGCATAACCACAGTCCTTCACAACAACGAACTATCCAGCTCAAAATGTCAGTAGTGCAGACACTGAGAAACCCTGGAAAATGGATATACATTAGAAACTCAGAGCAATTATTTAAACAAAAATTACAGTTTTGAGAAGATATAGAAGTGTAGGCATGTGGGAGTGTGTATGTATGTATAAAACAGAGTTAGAGTAAGAGAGTTAAAGCTCATCTTTCTTAGCACAAAAATCAATTTGTATCTTAAATTTGAAAATCAAAAATCTCATGTACCCCATAAATATATACACCTACTATGTACCCACAAAAATTAAAAATAAAAATATTAAAAAGTGAAAAAAATGTTTAAGTGTATTGCTTAAAAATATGAAGGCAAATAACTATTCAAACAGCTAAAAGTGATGAATGTGGCTGCTTCCATGCAGTGGGAGTATAGAGTGGGGAGGAATAGGGCAAGGTGTGCTATTGTAGTTTATTGCAAACTACTTAATAATATTTGAATTTTTTAACCAAAATAATTAGGTTTATATTTTTAATAAACTGTATTAGTGTATTAAGGAGAAAATTTGGAAAATAAAACAATATGAATTATAAAGGC